CAGGTCCACTGGTGGAGCCTCTTCTAACCAGTTCGGTAGATTTGACGAACCGGTTCTACCGAATAGGTGCGAACTGGTAGGAACCCACCTCTGATATATTGCTAGTCCGTGTATGAGATATGCCATACATTAAATCAATAAATCAACAAATATCTATCATGCCCTGGAAGTGACACAAAGCATGGGTATGGATCTCCCAGTGAAACCTCCTCTTGTTGACTGGGACTCCTCCAGATCAGATCAAGTTCTGACCTGTGACTAAGGTCCCCATTCTTCTCCCATCACTGTCTCAGCCCCTAAGATTAGGAGGAGCAATTGATGGATTGCTTTGCTCACCAACAAGGAGACCCATTTAGCACCTTAACTATCTTCACAGTCATTTACTAGGATGGCCCCAGACACAAGCTTCCCTAATGAGGCAGGCCTAGGATCAACTATGGGGGCAGAGCAAATGTATGTTAACACAGCTTGATCCCTCTGGAAGACAGCAGATGAAACTGGTTTCTTTGTATACGTCCTAAGGATCCGTCCCTCTTACTTTGGCAAATTCAAATATAAAGACAACCTAAAACTTTGACAATCGAATGCAAAAAAACAAAACCACCCCCCACCAATATAAGTTATTGCATACGTTAAATAGTTAGGACAGGTATTATTGTTTATATAATATTAGCAAAAACAATATAATTGATAATTTTCATTTATTTGCTGTTATGAGGTACAATTGAAATAAACAATTTTTAAAGTAAATCTACGGTTTTTCTTACTCTGTACAGAATGCTGCAAATTTAAGAGCAGCTAGGATGCCTTCAGCACCGTGTTAAAATGAAACTCCAGTGGCTTAAGGTTGAGCCTCTCTTAAAAGATTATTAGCAAGTGATTTATTAGCTTTGGTGTAAATTAGAAACAGATTCCATGTTAATAGAAAATCCTTAGGATTTTAGAGGCCTGTTTCTGCTTTTATCTGACGTAAGACCTTCTCCACATTAAGAGCTCTCCTGCTTTGCATCACTGTTCCTTCATTAAAGAAGGTTATCAATGTTTTCTTCTATCAGGCAGTTTATCTAGTAATACACAGTGTGAGCACATAAAAAGCTGAACAGAAAACAATCTAGGATATTTTTTTTATTTCATGACTAGCTCTTTTTCTATGTATGTATGTATGTATGTATGTATGTATGTATGTATGTATGTATGTATGTATGTATTTTAGAGTCACAACCCCTGGTATGCCCAAATATGGGAGGAAGTTTTACTGCTTCCATTCT